GGGCCTTGATACCCGAAGTCCTTCTGGAGGGGGATTTCCCTTCCAAACACTAACCTCTCCTCCTCCCTCTCCCCCTCTTCGCTGTCTTCAATACGCCAACAAGTCTTCAATAAAGGTAAAAGTGATGTTAAATGTTCATTTATCCATTTCATTAGTCATTTATATTTATTTCTCATTGTTTTCTGTATGTAAAACTATAGTTATTCTCCATAAAATGTTTTTTATGTTAATATTTTTGGGTGTCTGGACTGGATTAATTGGATTTACATTATTTCTTATGAGAAATATTGCTTCAGTTTTCATCAGACTTTCTGGAACGAATTAATCATGAAAACCGAGGTTCCACTGTACATTTAAAGATATATGTTTTTCATTTATGTTGATGTAAAAATTAATAAGAACCTTAGAAAACTTACCTAACCTTATTATAACAAGTGCAATTTAATTTAGCCTAATCCAACTAAATATATTTTAAAAAAGTTTACAGTAATTTAATAATAAACAAACACAATGTGCTCAGCCAGCTGAGCACATCAGTCAGTTTATTCAAGTAAACATAATCATAAAGGGCACATAAAGCATCCCAGAGCGATTAACAATATTATTATTATTACCATCGACATACCTTGTTTACTGAGTTTAATCATAGAGAGAATGAGTAAATGAGAGAGAGAGAGATGGTGAGAATGTAGACACAAACGAACATGTATTAATTCCAGTATGCCTATGGTTGGTTCATACACACTAACCTCTTTACAATGAACTTCTTTTGTACTTCTTCCATTCTTTCCTCCTTCCTCTTCCAAGTGCTACTGCACTTCTAACTCTGTCTTGTACTATGGGGTGCACAATAAAGTACAAATTTATAGATGAAATACAGTGGACCCCCTACTTACGATGTCCTCATCCTACGTTAAAATCAGCTCACGATGCTTGTCAGCGTAAAAATTTGACCCCAACCTACGTTGAAAAACTCGACTTACATCATTCATCCTGAACGCGGCCGTCTGGTCTGTCTGGCCTGAGTGGCTCAGCTGAGCTAGTGTGACATTGTTTACAAGCCGGGGCGGATGGTTGCACGCATACGATCGATAAATTTTGTATCATTCCAGTGTTTTTAGTGCTTGTAACTGGTAAATAAGCCACCATGGGCCTAAAGAAAGCTTCTAGTGCCAACTCTGTGGTAAAAAGGGTGAGAAATACTATCAAACCACAGTCAGCTGCTGCTGCTGCTGCTGTAGCACCATCAGCTGACGCTGCCCTATGGTCAGCTGCTGCTGCACCACGGTCAGCCGCTGCTGCACCATGGTCAGCTGTACTACTCGAAGATGTGGAGAGACTGTTATTGGTTTGGCTTATTGAGAATACCGAGAAACAATTAACCCCAGATGGTTAGCCACCCAGGATAACTCAAGAAAGTCAGTGTGTCATCGAGGACTGTCTAACTTATTTCCATTGGGGTCCTTAATCTTGTCCACCAGGATGCGAGCCACACCAGTCGATTAACACTCAGGTGAACAGGAAAAATCCCTAGAACTAGTGCTCATATTGGTGAATTTAAGGCCAGCAAAGGTTGGTTTGAGAGATTTAAGAATCATAGTGGCATACACAGTGTGATAAGGTTTGTTCTGGAAGAAAATGCCAAACAGGACCTACATTACTCAGGAGGAAAAGGCACTCCCAGGACAGTGTCTCATCACTCATCACTACATCTTCAATATAGGTAAGTGTCATTTATTCTTCATCTAGTACACTAGATGAAGAAAATGTATATTTCATGTGGTAGAATTTTTTTTTCATACTTTTGGGTGTCTTGAACGGATTAATTTGATTTCCATTATTTCTCATGGGGAAAATTAATTCAACTTACGATAATTTCGTCTAACGATGTGCTCTCAGGAACGGATTAATATCGTAAGTCAGGGGTCCACTGTATGTAGTCTTGGAGATATATTCTAAATGCTGAGATGCATCACTAACTCCTTTACAGTAAACTACTTTTTGTACTTCTTCCAGTCTTTGCTCCTCGTTTTCCTCTTTCTACAATAAATACTCACCTCTTACCTTACATAAAGACTACAAGTATTTTAAGGTAAGTAATGAGTGTACTGTATGTGTATTTTACTTTTATTATAATTATAAATTAAAATCATGGGGGAGCGCTAAACCCATAGGATTATACAGAGCATGTGTGTGTGTGGGGGGGGGGGGAAGTATTCAGGCTCAATGCAGGGAACCGGAGCACAGATTCAGTTACCTAGATCAATAGCCCCTCACCAGCATCAAGGAATCCCCCTGGGGTAGTGGTGTTTTTAATGCCTAGTTCTATATTTAACCCTTGCAGGGTCCAGAGGCCAAATTTCAAAGTGCACACCAGGGTCCAAGAATTTTCAAAAAAAAAAAATTTGCTATTTTTTCTTATGAAATGGTAGAGAATCTTTTTCTGAAGGTAATAAAACAAAAAGTACAAAATTTGTTGGAAAACTGACGAAATTATGCTCTCGCGAATTTTGATGTGTCAGCGATATTTACGAATCGGCTATTTTGTCAACTTTAACTCCCATTTTAGGCCAATTACATTATTCCAGTCGACCAAATTCTTAGCTATTTCACTAGTATTACTTCTATTCTATCGATTGAGCACAAGAAATCGCCAAGTCAACTGTTCCAATTACAAAATAAAGTGATCAGAAAATGGTAATTTGGCCAATTTAACACAAAGTTCAAAATATTCCAATTTCAAAATAGGGTCCAGAATAAACAATGTAGGTATTCCTAGCACTAAACTAACATTTCCTCTGTTCATTAGTTACGTTTCGAGGCTTTACAAATGAATTCCATTTTGATTTTTTGTTCACATAATGGATTTTCATTCAAACTCAAAAATAGAAGATTTACTCTTATGCAATATAGTAATAATTGTATAAATATCATCACCACATTTGTGAATGTATATTAGACCCACTAGCTGGCGTGTATTAGACGTGTGAGGTCATTTGTTTACTCTTGAATATCGGTAAAAATTTAACATTTCCTCTACTTTGAGCTCAGTTTCAAGCTATTTCCAGTGCTAAAACCAATCAAAATCATC